TAGGTTATCCGAATATAACAGAGTGCGGATCATATTTTTGATATATTACTTATTGTTATTAACGATAATTCTAATTACAGCTCAGTCGCGAGCTGACGCTCCACCTGTAAAGGGTGCTTGATGCCAATTGGGTTCCTGGTTCGACTATATGTTGTCCAGATCAAAACCCCCATTCTTAAAACATATTCTTTAAGTTTGCTTAATTGTCACAATGCGTCGAGAGAAAGCACGCGCACACACTTTGATGCATGTGAGAAGGCAGCGAAAGCATATCAAAGCGAGACAGAATAAGGCACACAGGATAAGGGTGGATGTGCGCTCCTGTGTAGGGCCAAACGCGAACCGGTTCATGAAGCGCTAATTTCAATTCCGCAGTCTCGTTGAACAGTGCTTTCACAATGACGTGACTGTCGGGTTGAGGGACTGCGGCCACCTCAGGTAACGCCTCCACATCCACTATGTCTTTCTACCGCTGCCTGCCGTGAAAGACAGCGGAAAGAGCGGATTGACAAGCCGAGATTAGGCGTCTCTAGATGCAACGGGGTCCTGCGCAGATGCTATTGGGAGACGTTGCTCAGTCGTTTCTGGACGTGCGTGAAGGAGAATGAAATGGTGCATAAATCGGTTCACCCATAAAGGCCAAGAAACTGGAATTCCATGTGGAGTCTCAATACGTGCAAAGGGAGTAAACTATATGCATTTCACGCGACGCACCAAACGGTTCCAATCGTTGCGTGGGACGCTTCTTCCTGCTTGGAATTTTTGAAGGGAGCGCTTCAGACACTTCCTCTTCATTTTAAGCCGACCTGCTGGAATGTGTACCATGTTCCCACATCAGTGGTGATCGCTGTAAAACAAACAATCACAATAACGGCATATGGGTTCCCGCTACGATCAATACTGAGCTACTGCACCATACGCGATCCAACCCTAAACCTTATCCTAAACCCTGAACAGTAAACCCTAGACCCGACAATAAATAACAACTCCCAGTGCTCTTAGGACACGCAGAACGTCAGGAGGCAAGAAAGCTAGCAAACGTTGCAAACGCGCTTAGTGACGAGAGGCCGTTGGACGGCTTAAATTGTCTACTAAATATTTGACAGCAGTGTGCAGCGCCTCAAGTTCTGACGGATGCAACACGCAAAGTAGCTGATCCAGTGGGGATTTGTGCAGGCAAGAGTGAGATAAAATTTGATGTTTATCCCCGTAAAAGAAAGCCAGTTAGCTGATGGTTTCATATAAAGTTCGCCCTTAGTGGCATGCAGGCAGTGGTTCTGTGCCTCCCTTCGACATGCGTTGACTCGGTGTTAAAGCAAAGCTATGCATTCACAAATTCATTGTCATGCTCTGGTTCCTATTTCTGTCGTCTTCCATACTGCAATATAGACCGTAGTTCTCGCCATTGGATAGAGGTCTACTGCGCTATTGTGTTGTGTGCGGAGCATAACGTTCACCTTTATGCACTTATACTTCGGTACCAAATGAAAAGAAAGCAAAGTTTCCGTATCTCCTGTTCCGCCCGTGGCATCGGTTGATAAACCTAATTGCAGCTCTCGTCGTTGCATTCAGCTTGAGCAGTTGAAGTTGGCAGCAGCCTAAATGTGCTGCCAATACCATATGTTGCGGGAGGCTTGCAACGCCCATCTTTTCAAACGATCTGTAGATCTGCCGGGTGTGAAAAGAGCACTCAATCCTCGCCACGGATCGGCTGTAGTCGAATCCATTAAGCTGAGGGGTTTTTATATTATCTGGTGAGCTTCCGTTCAGTCACTAGTCGTCCTGGAAACAGGAGTCTGGGCCTGACACGGTGAGGAGGCAAATTCTATCATGAGTTCCAACGCGCCTTGTTGCAGCTCTTGTCGCAAGGTAACAATGCATGCAAACATCCCACCCCCTCATTTTGGCC